TCATTGGTATTTGTATCTTTTGATTGCTTGATTGATCTAGATAGCTTCCTTTTAGATCTTGATTCCTTTGCGACCTTTTCTCGTATCTTCATAATGCTCCTTTTCATTTGTGCTTTACATGTAATGTCTTGACTTGATGAATGCTTAGATCTGTAATTTTGCTCAAGGTAGACATTAGAACACATAGAACATCATTAATGAATTATAATCATCAAAAGCCTTAGATTCAAGGTCAACAAAAAGTTTAATTCTTATTTTGAAAAATGGTATAAATAAATAATGATTGATTCAAAACTTATTTAGAAGAAGATTTCCAAAGTTAGATTTATTGTATTTCTAAAAAATAAATTAAATGAAAGGCCTCATCTGTGTTAAAAAAGGAAATGCATAATTTGATGATAAATTTTTTAAATAATTTTTTTTAAAAATATTCTTTTAATGTCTTCAGTCATAAATTATTTAAAATTTTAATTCAAACATTAAAATTCAATCATTTTCAGTGGATGAGTAAACAGCGGCTTCTATTAGCATTTTTGGAATAACAAAAAATAGTGTAACAACACATGATTGACACGTACATGTTTTTGTAAGGGTAATTTTGTCACTAAAAATATTTTACTAATGCAAGTGAGCAACACGCGTTACTTTAGCGTCCAAAACTAATAGAATTCGGCTAATGTGATAACTTTGTAATAATATTGGGGTTTTTAAAAACAGGTTGGAGTTTTATTATAAAAAAATTGAAAGTAGTATGGGTTTTATGATTTTAGCCCTATTTTATATACACACTTTAACACCTTTTTAAATTAAAAAAAATAATATTTTCTAAACTACATGACCATTGAAAATTTTTACTTTTATATTCAAACATGTTTTCTACTGAATTATTTTTTTACTTTATTTATCGATCCACCCCTGCCTTAGTGGCTTTGGGTAAGATTTACAAGTCACAACTAATATTCTTTAAATTACATGATTACTTTAATATTCAAACATGTCTTTTACTAAATTTCTCTATCTACTTCATTTAAATCAATTTTTGTTTGTGTTTTTTAGTCTTAATTTCGGTGGAAAAAATAATAAAAAAGTCTTAACTTCTTATAAGATACAACTAATATTCTCTAAATTACATAATTGTTGACAAAGAATAACTTTTATATTCAAATATGACTTTTACCAAATTCCTCTTCTACTCCGTATTAAATTATTAACCGTTGACATTGACAAATGACAACTACCTAATTAAATTAAAATATCCGTCTATCTCTATATTTGTGTGTGAACTTGCAAGTCACTCGTCAAAATTTCAAATAGAGAGAAGAAAGGAAGAAAATATCTAATTAAATTAAAATATCCGTCTATCTCTATGTTTTTGTGGTGTTTTTTTTTTTTTTTTTTTTTTTTTTGGCCTGGCAATAGAAACGCCCTACGACATCTACAAGAAACAGAACAACTACATACAAACCACAACTAAAGTAAACAAATTGAACAACCCAACAACAAAAGAACCACAAGACTCACAAAAACAAGATATCCAACAAGAAACATTGCCTAACTGATGTGGCATACACATTGTAACACAAATATGATGAATCGGAGGTAACAAGATTGGGTTTAAAATATGGGCTAACTGATCATTAGGCCTATTTGACAGCCCCACTAGACCATCCATGTATTGGACAGCAACAGTAGAAGTCAAACAGAAGGGTCTGAACGCACGAGAACATACTGGAGATGCACCCTTCCCACGCACCATCATTACACTCTGTGACAGGTGGGCCCCAAACTGGCACCACACATGACACTTTGAAAACTGAGGACGACCTAGCTGCACACATCGCAGGAACGGAGAAGAATGAGAATATACTGGCATGCTACCATCATCGTGAGAGCCATCATCATGAGCTCCATCTGCAACAAAATACCCCCACCAAACATAGTGAGACACAACAAATATCCACATTGGATAATTACTAACTTGGCCATTCATTCCGACAACGTCCAACCACAGCCCATAGTTAGTGACGTTCAGATTAAACATAACGCTGATTGGAGCAACACTAAAGACCGGCAAACAGGCGACAGCATCATGGCTATGAACCAACAGAATAGAGGCTATTAAACTCCATATTGGATGAAACAGAAACCACGCCCTTACCATATTGATGAACTTCAGCAGCAAGAGGTGCCCAAAAAAAGGTGGAGGATTGGGTTGGAAACATCGACGACACCAAGACGGCCTCGGCGAAGCATAAACCACATCATCAACCACCTCCCCTGAAGAACAACGCCGAGTATTGTGACAACCAGAAAAACCACTTACCAAACCGAAGCCTTCTCACCCATGAACAGAGAAAACGAAAAGGAAGCATAAAACCCTAAAAATAGCAAACAACATCAAACAGATGACAGTAAATATGAAAACAATAGAAATAAGCTCAATACCCGGATCAAAAGGGAAAAACATCAAGGATTGGGTCATAATCCTTCCATTTTGTGAAATTCCCAACAGTAATCCCCACAACTCCCGTGTACCCTTCCAGACAAACAACCCAAAGGGTTGGGGGAGAGGAGAAAAGCAAGAAACCATCCCGGAGAGAACACATAAACTGGAATCCAACCCAGACTCTGATGATACAGAGACCCTTAACACAGTAAGGAAACATGAGATTGTGGAAAAAGAAAAGCTGTGAATACAATTGTTGCTTATTTCAGGAGATTGTGGAAAAAGAAAAATTGTGAAATATGAGATGTTGTGTTGGTGAAATGTTATATTTTTATGGTGTTTGGCTTCTAATCAAATGGCATTAGGTAGGAAGATTAAATGGTTCATTTCACGAGTGGTTGTTGACAAGTCAAAGGGCATGTTGGTCATTTTTTATACTACAATAGTCTGGAGGGGTGTGTTTGCAAACTTTTCAAATGTAAGGGGGTGGTGGGACTGCATGCATGTTGACTTTAATTTGCGAAACATTGACCGAAACATCAGAAAGTGTCAAAACAATTTACCCTTTTTTTATTTTTATTTCTTTCACTATCTACTATTTCCACTTCTAAGTTTTTTATTCTATCTAACCAAACAAAAAATGAAACAAAAGTATCAAGAGAAACATTTTAAACATTTTCTTTTTATGTTTTCTTACATAATGAGCAGTACATCAAATCTATCAAAGGACCATACATGTAAATGTATCCACCTATATATCAATATTGTTCTAAATAAAGTAACAAAAGTTTGTTGCAAAAACATCAAGATAATGTTTGGTTTTTAACTTTGAAAACACTTTCTAAGAACAATAAAATTTCTGAAAATAATTATTTTTATAACTGAGTTTTTAAAAAAATAATTTTAGAATACTAAATCAAAAAGAGTTTTTGTGTAGCTTTTTATTTTTAGTTATATGAAAATAGAAAATAATTTTCAGAGTTACAAACCAAGCATACTTTAAAATGATAAGGTTGTATCTAACTTTTGAAAAAGCCACTTTCAAAGCCTTAAGAGCAAGTCCAATGGTGATTGGTTTGGCGATTTTGGGCCAATTTTAAAGAGTGGGCTGCTCCAATGGATTCTTTAAAAAGTGGGCCCCATTAACACAATCTTGATTTTTTTTTTTTTTTTTTTTTTTTTTTTTTTTTTTTAAATTCTGGCCCAAACAATGTTTTAGCCCAAAACACTATTTGGGAAGGCTTGTTTGGCTGAAAAAAAAAGAAGAAAAAAATTAGATTTTTGGCTGATTTTGGTCTGTTTTTTTTTTTTCCTCAAAATAATTGAACCGAAGAGCCATTAAGGCACTGTTTGGCTGACACAAACAGTGCCTTAGAGGCTTTTTTGGGCAACAAAAGTTAAAAAAAATAGATAAAAGTGTTTTTTTTTTTTAAATTATTTTTTAAAATATTCCTACTGACATATAGCCGTTTTAGGCACTGTTTGGCTGACCCAAATAGTGCCTTAACGGCTATATTGGCACAAAAACCTATTTTTTGAATTTTTTTTTTGAAAAAATTCATTATATATATATATATATATATATATATATATATATATTTATTTATTTATTAAACAAAAAAAACCCTTTCATTTTTCCTCTATAAAATACATCAACCCCTACTATTATTCACCTCATATCCAACCCATCTTTTCTAGTTTTCGACCTACAACTATAACCACTAAGTCATTTCTCAATCTTTTATGATATTTTTTACTCAAATTTAATTCCATGTTTAAATTTTTTTTTATGATATAGCCGTTTTAAAAATGTAGCCGTTAGGAAAAAAGTTAAAAAATAAAATTTATTAAAAATTAAAAAAAATTAAAATATTAATATTTTTGGAAAGCGGAAATGCACTATTGGAGTACATTCGATAGCTAAATTTTGAAGGTTCTAAAACGCTGACGTGGTTATGAAAAATGCTGGTAAATTCGGAGATTCTGAATTCGGAGATTCTGAATTCGGAGAGTCTATTGGAGATGCCTAAGGCCCAAAAGCAGTTATTACTTTTGGAAGATTTTTGGGTCAAAGTTTATGGGAGTGGCTTTCACATGAACCTATTCTTGAAAAACACAAAAGACGTTTTGGCTCTTTAAAGAAAATTTTTGTAATTCCATTTTAACCTTTTTCTTTTGAATTACAAAAATATTATCCAACGGTATCTCAAATGAATATTTCATCGAAGAACCAAATAATTGTTTGAGCGTTACACCAATATCACTAAATGCTCTTTTGCTAAACTAACGGAAAAAACTGATCACTGAAAGCTATTTTAAAATATAATTTTTCTTTTTCAAACACTATTTTCCCATCATTACACTCAAGCAAAACATTTTCAAGTAATTAATCATTTCTGTCTTAATTTTTCGAACTTTACCGACTTGTAACCCAAATGGTAAAATGGGATGCTTTCAAAAAGTTTGCTTGAAACTTTAAAATTTAAACTTCACAGGGATTAAAACGGCGTCGCCTTACTGCACTTAAAGCATTTAGAGACGCTCTTCCAGTCTCTCCTAGTATTTTGAACCCTGTGACAGACACCTTGTAGGCTTGTAGCGTGAGCGAAGGTGCACGTTAGCTTCAAGAAGAAGCTCGTCCAGACTTGGCATTACTCAGTAATGGCGAGTGCGCATTGCGCTACCATCTCCTTCCTCCTACCTTTTGCTAAGGCCACCTCCACCCGTAGAAAACCACTGGTATTTTCTCATATTTCCACTCCATCTCCATCCAAATTCACCAAGAGAAAAAACTATCTCCGCCCAAAGCTTCTCAAAACCCTAAAAATAATAACGCCTCTCATTCCCCAAGAGTCCCTCACAAATCCCATTATTCCCACTGAGTCGTCCCCCCATGAACAACAACCCGAGAGTCCCTCCGACCAATTTTCCGGTAATTCTTGCCCTAACTTTGCCGAAGAAGAGCCTAAAGAGTCGGAGTCGGTGTGGAGTGAAATTCAATTCTCCGAAAGCTCAGACTCTGCCGGAGTTTTGGAGGGTAGTGTTCGTAATTTTTCTACAAGGTCAGTCCTTAAATTTGGGTTGTATTTGGTTGGAGCTTTTGTGTTTCAGACCATTTGTGCTGTTTTGTTATTTGGGTCAGCTGATTCTGACCATAAAGATGGGAATTTCGATGGTGAAGATAAAACTAGGGTTTTAGAATTCGGAATGAATCCAACCTGTAAAGGAAAATCGAACTTTGTTGTCAATGGAAAATTGGGTTCTAAACAAGTTGGGATTATAGACATGGATGAGTCTGAACTGGAAAAGAAAATTGTTGAAATTCGAGAGATGGCGAGAAAAGCAAGAGAGAGCGAAAGGTTGGGGTCAAAGGTCGATGCATTGAATGATGGCATTGAAGAGGAGGTAGATAACCGGTTAGTCAAGTTACGAAAGAGGTTGGAAAATGATAGTGGAAAGTTGGTGGTGTCCTCTATAAGTGATTTGAATAAGGATGTTAAGGTAGAAGATGGGATTGATAAAGATAGTTTGGATGCAAATGAGGCTTATAGGACATTGATGTTTAAGAAGAAGTACAAATTTAAGGGTCCATCACCTCAACCAGCCAACAAACCCAAAGGTTTTCAGGGTTTGAAAAATGGTGCTACTAAGATAGAAAGCAGTTCTATTTCAGCTAGTGAAGATCAAATGAACGAGCAGCACGGCCTGGCAAATGATAAATTGCTGAGAAATAATTCTACCTCTATGGAGGAAGATGCTGGAAAGAAACCATCAATGGAAGAGTTAAAATCTTCACAAACTCAATGGAGGAAGTCGGTGAAGAAAAGGGGGACTGCAAATTTGGGAAAGAAAGCGGGAGTTGATATTAGCGAATCAAGGAATGGTAATATTCTTATTACTTGTTAAAGTATACTATTCTTTAATCATTCTGTTATAATATTTTTTGAATATTTGAAAATTAGAAGTGCTAACTGTTTTTGCCATTATTGGTATGATATCCATTATAAATGAATTATGTTCATCTTTGTTCCTAGAAACACCTTAGGGATACTATCTGATATGCATTTTACAATATTGCACAAATAATCAAAATCTAGAAAATCAATAAAATAAATAAAGAAAATGAATAGTAAAGAGAATCAATTTTTAATAGCCATTATCGGCCTTGTTGCATATTGAGAGAACTGCTGTATATATACTACAATCTGCCCATTCTACTACAATCAATGTACCATTCTGTGTAATCAACAATTTGGAAATAAAGGAGGATGAAGTGATTGTGTTCTGAATTGTTGGAACTTCTAGAAAGACGAAGGTTGGAAGAAGATTAAGACAAAATGAAAATAAAGGGCTTAGGTATCATCTGGACAGTGACACTCTTCTGCTCCTCCAACCAACTTGTCCTTTGTGCTGAATTATTATTATTTTTTTCCCTAAATGATCCTTTGTGCTGAATTGCTGACGCAGTACTCATAACCATTTTCACATGTGCCAATAGCTAGAATGTCTGGTATGCATGCTCATTGCTCCACGAGTTCTTCCTCTGTCATGTCGACCAAGGTGTAGTGTTAGGGCCTTAGGGTGCACTATGACTATTCTGTTTAGTTAATGTGCCCACCCTTTTCCTTATCTCACCTTGACTTACTCCTAATCCATTCCTTGACATACCCAAATTCCCACTTGCGATCATGTTGAAATTCTATTGTGGTTACAACACGATCATCTCGTGTTGTGCACATAATAACATGACACCTTGAGTTGCGACAAGTAGGTTACTTTAGGATAAGCACATTGTTGTGGCATTCTGCAGCATAATCTTGATGCTCTTTATCCAAAAGTAATCAGTACTTTTTCTTACGTAAGCAAAATTGCAATAATACCATGGTTGAGGTAGGGCTGAAGGTATTACAATTCTTCCTTAAGCTTGTCACTTGAAAGAAGTGCGTCGTCAATGCCCACAACGCTCTAGTTGTGGCTTTCACAAGACGAAGGGGATATGTCATTATCCCAGGTTACAACACAGTGGAAATGCTTCATTCAAGCTTCTAATAGACGTTAGGGGGGAAGCATTATTTTGCTGTGATGCAACTGCAAATGTTGGAGAAATAAAATTAAAGAGTTTTCAAATTAATTTTAAAGTGATACAACTTTTCTAAAGGATGTATATAAGTGGTTGGTGACAATAGTTTAAATCTAAAAGGTCTTTATTTACAATACGCATAACCTTTCAAAAAGGTATTTGAAACATAGTTGTTAAGGCGCGCCTAGGCTCCAAAAAAGGCCAGGCTTAGGTAGAGCACCTCAACCTCGTACGGGCAGGTCCCCTTTCATGCTCACATAAAAGATCACACCTTTTATTTTTTAATGATTTATTCATATCATTTTTCTTTTTTGCCAAATGACTACTATATTAGAATCTTCTATATCATATCATGATCATATTTAATGGATCATATTTTTCAACGTTATGAGATATTTGACAAAATCCATATTTTTATGGTTCACTACTTAACATTAATTGCCTTTAGTGCTTGAGTATAAATATTTTTGATAATATATATTTAAAGTATTGCATAATTATAGTTTTTAATTGTATCAAATATATAATTACGTTTAATTTGGTTAATGCATATTCATATGAAATGATTTATGAGCATTAATTTATCTGATCCTCTTAGTTGATATATCAAAATTTCATTTTTAAAGAATTATAAAAAAAAAAATTTAAAATCATTTTTTAATATTTTTTAATTATTTGTGTAGCATATCTTGAATTGTTCTTATTGTACATTGAATTTATATGCAAATAAAAAAGATATGTGTATAGTGATTTAACTAATTTATTGAATTTATATGTTGAAAATAGTTGTTATTTTGATATTGACAAGTATGTGTTGCATAGTTTAATTATTCTTTATATACTTATCATTAATATGCAATATGGTCACACACGCGCCTTACTTAGATCAGGCTCACACCTTTCTTATAAAGGTGTTTATTCAAGCCTATAAATATGAATGGCTTCTCCATCCAAATATACATTAACAAAAAGCCCAATCTCTCCTCTCTCTACAATGAATCTGCTTATTCAATCTCACTTTCATTTCACAAGGTATTCCTTGAATTCTCTTTCTCTCGTTTTCTTGTCTAAATATGAGTTTCTTACTATTTTGGATATTTAAAAAAAAAAAATCAATACTAGTGTTTAAGTTGTTTTGTATCTTGAAAGTGTACTTTCTTTTAATTATTGTTGCTCTGACTATCTTTGTTTAATAAGGGAAAGTATTTCACTTATGACCTAGGAAGCACGGACACTCCCAAATGGGCAAAGAATCCGTGTCCGACACGTGTCGGACACAGACACGCGTCGGACACGCCCCGACACGTGTTGGACACACCAAAAAACGTGTTTGGAATTTTTTTTAATTTTCGGACACAGCTCGGACACGGCATGGACCCGGCTCAGACAGCTCGGACACGGCTCGGATACACTTTTCTGGAATTTTTTTTTTTTTTTTCTAAAATTTTTAATGCTGATATGTTAATTTTTTAATTTTTTTTAAAATTTTTAATGCTGATATGTTCTATTTTTTGTTTTGTACTACCCTAAAGATGCTGATATATATATATACTAACCTAAAGATGCCACAATTCGCCGTGTCCGTGTCCTAAAGATGCTGATATATATATATACTAACATATCAGTGATATATATATATTCCAACCTAAACATATCAGTGTTTTTTTATTTTTAAATTGCTAATGCTGATATATATATATACTATTCGCCGTGTCCGTGTCCTAATTTTTTTGGATTTGCCGTGTTGCCGTGTCTGTGTCGTGTCGTATCCGTGTCCCGTATCCGTGTCCTTGCTTCTTAGCTTATGACACAACGTATTTATACGTGCCTAGAGTCCTATTCAGATTGCTGTCCAGTATTTATTTACAATAGTTTTATTCAGCTTGGTTTTTGATATTATTCCCCAGATTTTGTGTGTGTTTTATTTCTATCAAATATATCCTTGCTATCCACCTTTTTCTCTTCATGCTGCCTCACATTTGGGATGGTAGTCCCTACCCTTCTTCCTTGAGATCACAATAGTCTTTTATCATTACGCAATGAAATCTATAGTACGTTTTTATGCATGTTTAGCAAACTGTTCAGTTATTTTTTAATTTTTATAGGTGTTGTGCAGGAGAGAAGTCGGCCCTCAGTGGAAATTGTGGAATTGACCAAATCAAGCAAGTTGGAGGCACATAATTCGCAGTTTTCCGCAAAAGAAAACCTGGACACTGCCACAACATCCAACAAGCCTGATGTGTTAAGTAGATGTGGTGGTTCGAGGAGTAAAGAAATTGGAAGACGAGCAGCAGGCCAAACCAGGAATAATAAATCACACTCTCAGACTGATTTGTGGTGGTGTAGTCTTCCTTATGTTCTGGTATGTAGTAGAACTCGTACATGTTTCATCAGTCAATATCTTCTTTTTCCTTTGATTTATTTTACTTGTATAAAATTCTATCACAAGGTGATTTGTCTGCTCGTAAAACAGATCAAAGAAATGCTTTTGAGTTTTACTTTGAAACACTCAGAAAAAAGAAAAAAAAAAACGATCATTAGAATGGTGAGGAAACTTTTTAATGGGAGCCTTTATGATACATGGTAAGCTCAAGTGGTATTAATGATTAGGTATAAGTTAGATTTTCTGGTAATATGTTCTCATAAAACTCTCTCATATAATCTTGAGATGAACTGGTACAAGGTTAGAAGCAGACATGCACTAGATGTTTGGAGCATGTGGAAGCACTAACCAAACCAGCGCTTGCTTGTAATTGAGAATTAATTAAAATAAAAATAAAAATAAAAATAAAACTCAAAGTACCCCCAAATCTGAAAGAGGAGGTTTTTACTTGGTGCTTGTGGCTTTTTATCGAAGAAAAATAAAAATCATCACCCCCTGTGATTGGCATTTGTGGGTTTTTACTATTATAATAGGCTTTTATTCTATAATATTGTCAAGACTGTTGGAACATTTGACAAGATGATACTTGAACTCCTCTCCACGACCCCCCCAAAGGAAATTCCGTTGAAGCCTCTCAATTCTTCCAACAATAGAGACTGGAATCCGAAAGAGCGAAAGAAAGTACGTTGGGAGACTTGACAAAGTACTCTTCACAAGCGTAACTTTACCACCCTTTGACAGATATTGCTTTTTCCATCCAGCTAATCTTCTCTCAACCCACTCAATCACCGGGTTCCAACTTCCCACCCTCCTGGCCGAGTCCCCCAGCGGCAAACCCAAATACGAGATAGGAAAGCTTTGCGTCCCACACCCTAAAACAGCAGCCAGAGTGTCTACCTCCTGAACCTCCCCCACAGGAACGATTACTCTCTTTCCCACGTTAACTTTCAAGCCAGAAACTGCTTGAAAGCAAACCAAAACACATCTCAGATACCTTAACTGGGACACCTCTGCCTCACAAAAAACGATTGTGTCATCCGCAAAAAATAAATGAGAGATCTCCATCTGCTGAGCTGAGGCAGGGCCAATCTTGAAACCCCTAATAAAACCCAAATCCACCGCCCTTCTCATCAACCTACTAAGAGCCTCCATAACAATAATAAAAAGGAAAGGGAAAAGAGGGTCCCCCTGCCTCAATCCACGAGAACTACCAAAGAATCCCGAAGGAGACCCATTCACCAACACTGAAAACCTAACAGTGGAAACACATGAAATAATCCATTTTCTCCATTTCTCACCAAAGCCCATCCTCTCCAACAAATAGAACAGGAAATTCCAGCAGACATGGTCATAGGCTTTCTCGATATCCAGCTTGCAAAGAACACCCGGAGTCCCACTATAAAGTCTAGAATCCACACATTCACTGGCAATGAGGACGGAGTCCAGGATCTGTCTACCCCCAATGAAAGCATTCTGAGACTCAGAAATAACTCCATCAAGAACCACCCTCAATCTGAAGGCAAGGACTTTTGCGATGAGCTTGTAGATACACCCAATTAGACTAATAGGTCTAAAATCCTTAATATTAGAAGCACCACCCTTCTTAGGAATAAGGGCAATAAAAGATGCGTTAAGCGATTTCTCAAACCGCCCCGTGGAATGAAACTCATGAAAGGTGCCCATAATCTCATACCGAACCACCTCCCAGCTTTCCAACAAAAATCTCATCTTGAATCCATCAGGACCTGGGGACTTGTCACCATTGCAACTCTTCAGCGCCTTCAGCACCTCCTCCTCCGAAAAGGGACTTTCCAACCCATCCCTTTCCAAGACAGAAATAGAATCAAAGTGAAGGCCATCAAGACGTGGTCTCCAACGAAGAGGCTCTGAATACAGCCTTTGGTAAAAAGAGACAATGCCACTTCGCACCTCCTCCTCCGAAGTCAAAACCGGCCCATCCACACACATCCGCCCAATATGATTATTCCTCCTATGAGCATTGGCAGTTCTATGGAAAAACTTCGTATTCCGGTCTCCCTCTTTGAGCCACAATGCCCTAGATTTCTGACGCCACGAGATTTCCTCCAAAAGAGCAATCTCCACACATTCTGCCTGACAAGCTGCTCTCCTACTGCGTTGAGATTCAGAGATACCATCCTCCCCTTCCAATCTATCAATCTCAGCAATATCAGCCAAAGCCCTGTTCTTCCTCCACACCAAACTCCCGAACACCTCCTTATTCCACGTTTTGAGATTATTTTTCAGGAATCGAAGCTTTCCTGCAAGAACATGGCTCGACGTACCCACCACCAGATTCTCCTCCCACCAAGTATGCACAGGACCCTGGAAATTATCTGCACGAAGCCACATGTTCTCGAATCTGAAAGGAGTGCTGCGAGATCTCAAATCTCCACAGTCCAGAACTAAGGGAATGTGGTCCGATGTCACCCTAGCCAAAGCAGCCTGAATAACATCCGGGAACTTCTCCTCCCATTCACCGGAAACCAAAAATCTATCAAGTCGAGAAAAGGTTGGAGCTTCCCTTCCATTGGACCAAGTGAAAGAAGCTTCCTCAAGAGGGAGATCGATAAGCTGGTGACCATCAATAAAATCAGAAAAGTGCATCATGGCCTGAGTCCACGGACCATCTGTAGACCTTTCTGCCAAGGATCTAACCACATTAAAATCCCGTGCCACACACCAAGGAAGAGACCACCTCCCCTTCACCCCACTCAACTCCTCCCACAAACCATCCCTTGCACCATCGTCAACCGGCCCATACACCCCAGAGCATAGTTGTTAAAGGCTCAAGGCGCACTAAGGCGCCAAAGGCCTTCTGGAGCCTAAGCGCAAGGCGCAGTATAAGGCGCAAGCCTGATCGAAGCAAGGCGCGTGTATATAATATTACATATTTAAACATATATTATTATCATATATTCATAATCAAGCAGTAATTGCAGTTAATGTAAGTAGTAAACCATAAATTTATGAATTTTGTCAAATATTTCATAAGGTTAAACAATACGACATATGATGTAGGACTTTTTAATTTAGTAGTTATTAAGTAAAAAATAAAATGATATGGATAAATGATTAAAAAATACAAGGCACGCCTTTTTTGAGCCTGGAGCCTACTAAAAAACGTGAGCCCGTGGGCTTTATGTGAGCCTTAATTGAAGGGGCCTGGCGTGTAGTAGGTTGAGACGATCTAGCTGAGCCTTGACGAGCCTGGGGCTTTTTTGGAGCCTAGGCGCGCCTTTAACAACTATGCCCCAGAGAAACGCCAAGAGAAGCCATCTTCCTCCGACACAAACGCATAAGACAGAGAAAAACTCCCTCTGCAAATATCCACCTTGGCCAACCATCTCCTATCCCACGTAATAAGCACGCCTCCTGAAGTCCCTACAGCATCCAGTGCCTCCCACTCGACAAAACGGTTGCCCCACAAACTTTTCACCACTCGATCAGACATAGAATCAACCTTAGTTTCTTGAAGACACACCAAATGCACCCCCCATTTCCTCACCGCCATCTTCACCACCCTTCGCTTGCTCGGGTCATTTAGACCGCGGACATTCCACGATAAAATTCAAAGCTTCATGAGGAAACAATCACCCCCTTCCCCCCCTTACCCCTCCCTCCACCTTTAGCATTACCCCTCTCCTTCACCCCTCCAATCACCCTGTCATAATTCACATCACAACACAAATTCCTTAACTCCCTTTCCCCTTTCCCCGGAGTAAGGTTTTTCATCTTCCTACTTCTTCTTCTGGAAAATTGAATCATCTCCCCTTCTCTCCCCTCTACCGTGGCCTGAAGGATTGCTAAGGCCTGATCACGGTTGTCCTTGCAAGAAACACCCAATAGATCACTAGCAACCCCAATATTAGCCTTGACCCATTCCATTCCAGTGTCCTCACCTTTCTGCCTACACACCTTACTGCCCAACTCCTCTGGAGGGCCATTGGAAAGGGGTGGGATGCTTTTTCCAAACATATTAGATTCAGAGTTCGGGATGGAAGAAATATCCGATTTTGGGAGGATTCATGGTGCGAGGATAGGCCATTGGCTATTTTGTTCCCCAGTCTCTTTAGGATTGCTGTTGAGAAACATGCTATGGTTGCTGACTGTTATCACCTTGATAGCGGAAGGGTATTTTGGGATGTGCGCTTTCGGCAAGCCTTTCAGGATTGGGAGTTGGATGATGTCACTGGGTTTTTAGCTCTCCTTTACAGACAGGATGTGGAGGGTTCTGGTGCAGATTCCTTGATTTGGGTGCCTTCATCTCAGGGGATGTTCCAGGTTCCGTCCTTTATGTGCCTTTCTGGTTTTCAGGGTACCACATTCCCATGGAAGACGGTGTGGATGTCTAAGGCGCCTCTTAGGGTAGCCTTTTTTGTGTGGATTGCAGCTTGGAGTAAGATTTTGACTTTGGACAACTTGACGAAGCGAAGGCATATAATTGTGAATCGGTGTTGTCTTTGCAAGAGCAATGGGGAGTCAGTGGACCATCTTCTGCTGCATTGTCCTGTGACTCATGATTGTTGGAGTTTGATTTTTGGATTGTTTGGAATTCATTGGGTCATGCCTCGGACCTCTCGGGAGTTGTTGGATATTTGGAGGGGCCAATGGGTGGGGGCTCAGGCGAGAGTCTTCTGGAGGGTGACCCCTTTTTTGCATTTGGTGGAGCCTTTGGAAAGAGTGGAATTGTAGATCTTTTGATGGGAAGGAGTCCTCTATTGGGATGCTGAAATTTTCTATTATTTGTACCCTTTTTTGTTGGGGTCAGGGGAGAGATTACTTCTCTTGAGGAGATTGTTGACTTCATGGGCTCTTTGAGTTCATAGATTTCGTTTTGTCTTTGTATAGTTTGGGACGCGTTCCCCTTTTGAACGCTCTTTAATACATTTTACTTATCAAAAAAAAAAAGACTATTGGAACTTGGATCAATCATTTATGTGGTGAAAGAGGAGGTTTTGAGTGCTCTGATTAAAGAACTCTTCTTGTATTTCGGGCAAGGTGTGGGTGTTCTGTTGGCAGAATGGGAGTGATGGCCCAAGGAAGCCTTCAAAGGTTAAAGTAGTGTTGATATGGTTGCAATTCTATATGATAGAGAGGATAAAGTGAGAGGGGAGAAGAGAGAGGAGGTGGCGGCCATGGGATGAGGTGGAGAAGAGAGGAGAGAGGTGGTGTTGTGGTGGAAACAGTGGTGAAAGTGGTTGGGGTGTTGGTGGTTGTAGGAGTCAGAGAGAGAGAGAACGGAGAGAGGGAAGAGAGAGAGTAGAGAAGAGCATAGTTAAATGGTGGGCAAAATCACCATTTTACCGTACAAGCTGTTTTACCTTTTTGTTAATAAAAATTGGAAGCATAAAAGGAAACTCAACCTTTTATTTTTTACATCCGTAAGTGGTAAACTGTAAGTGTAACTTTTTTGCATAAGTTTTCACCCCGTGTAATTTCAATAAAGGTCAATGTATTTCTCTAAATATTAAGTTGAAAAGGCTTCGGAATCTATCGTCATTCAAAAAGTTAAATTCAGAATATGCTCCCTTGTCAACGAGAAATTATGGGGCTATATTGTTCTTTTCTTCTCCTTAAGGTGGTTTCACATTTTTTTTTATTTCTGACGTAATCAAATTGGTCAGAAGTCTCAGGAAATTTTTTTGCAAGGTAAACAATCTGCCTTTTCTCTTAATTAAGCATCTTTTATTTTAGGCTATTCTGATGCGGAGAGGTCACGATGGTGTAGGACCACAGGGTCTATTTACCTTAAAGAGCACCTCTCGCACCAAAGACGAGGATGACTCATCTCATATTGTTGCTTTTGAAGACCGCGGCGATGCCACTAACTTCTGTTATCTCCTACAATCCTTTTTCGAAGATCTGGGAGATTTTAGCGTCGACATTGTTCCTGTATCAACAAATGTAAGAATCTTGCTTGATATCAACTGTACTTGTTAGTCCTATCTCGCATAGCTGATAATGATACAATGTGCATGCCATTCTTGTACACCTGTGTGGGGTAGTGCTAACACTTGAAAAGAAAACCTGAACTTTTCAGGAACTCGTTGATGATGTAAAATCAAATGCTGTGAAGGTAATTGTCGTGAAGAAGGGGCAACTTCAGCTTTATGCCGGACAACCATTGGCTGATGTTGAGATGGCCTTGCTCTCTTTAGTTTGTTGAAGTGCTTATACACCATAACAGAGGCAGGATGTGAAAAGATGCTTCTCACTGGGAGTTCCTTCATCAGTTTAACATGTTCTTATAAAAGGTGGGATCATCAATGCTGATATTGTTGAGTTAGTATGGTTTGGAGAGGCAATTTTTTTTAAATTTATTTTTAAATTTATTTATTTTTTTATAATGAAAATAATCATGTATAGATTAAATGTTAGGTCTATATCAAGTCCCCCCTCCCAGGACCTTCCTGTAGCGGGACTAGGACTGGGTAATGTCTCTTTAATCATGTTTAGATCCCTAGTCATCACAAACAGTCAAACAGCATGAAGCATGTAGTTACCACTTGTGAAAACTAGATTTGTTTTGGTAAAACCCATTTAGTGAAAGGTTAATTTTTTTCATTTGTGTGTGTATTTGAGTACATGCTATTGTTTAAGCACTGGATTGTGGAAGGTAATTACAGTTTAGTCTATATGCATGATAGAGCTAATTCCCTTGCTCAAGTACTGGATTACTGATTTAGAGCTTTCAATCTTTAACATCAGTTGCAGGCACCTAATTGTCACATGCATCTTCGGATATGGTTAGCTCTCCAATTTTTGTTAAATGGAGAGCCACATCAACTGGCCGGCCCAGCCAGCCGGTATGGTGCTGGTAGGACTGGCCACTTTTATGATTATTTTTTTTTATTATTTATTTATTTTCAAATTGGCCAAAGTTCTTTGGCGCGCTCTCTCTCGGCATGATATTTCACTGGAGTTTCAGTTTTTACACCAACCTTTCAATTCTTTCATTTCTTTCATATACATGCGCTCTCTCTCTCTAGAATTTCCTTGCGGGGTATACACACGCACACATATATAATTCTCCATGAAGATCTTAAGAATTTCAATTGATCAATGTAAAATTCTTGTACAATTGAACCCATTCAACTCAAAGTGGAAAGAAACCTATATAAAAGCCTCCCTATTGGAATTTACCTTCTCCCAGAAGAAACCCTAAATTTCTGAAATCATCAAATTTCTCAAACTTTCATTGAAGGAAAAATCTTTCTACATATATATACATACATATATACATATCAATCTCTCTAAGATCATAGTAAATTTAGAAGAAGAAGAATCGATGGTTAGAATTGTTGTGTAGTGTTTGTGAAGTTGTTCTTGATGTTCAGTACCTTTGCATGCCCAAAGCGGTGATTGAAAAGGACTTGTTTGATTTCTCTATGTCGTCGTTGTCGGTCTTCTGTAATATTCGCACTTCTGACTCGATCTCTGTCAATATCTCATGTTCCACAAACCTCAACGCCTAATCCAATCCGATTGAATAGGGATCGATTGAGGCATTGAGGATAGACTATCTCTGCTTCGACTATCATCTTCTGACCCACTAACATCACAACAAATCCAACTTTGGATTCATCTCCTAAATCTACTATGATGTTAAAGATATATATATATATATATCTAGAGAGAGAGAGAGAGAGAGAGAGAGAGAGAGAGAGAGATTATTTATTCAATGAAAGTTTTGAAAATTTGTGGATTTCAGAATCTTATGGTTTCTTCAGGGAGAAGGTAAATTCCAACAAGGAGGCTTTTATATAGTGGCCTTTTTTATTTATTTATTATTATTTTTTTGTCCACAAATTTTGCTCTTTTTGGCAAGAACTTTTCCACTTTGAGTTGAATGAGTTCAATTGTACAAGAATTATGCGTTGATCAATAGAGGAGAATTTTTTATATGTATGTATGTACAAACCCACAAGCAAATTCTTGAGAGAGGATGTATATGAAAGAGATGAAAGAATTGAAGGGTATAAATTGTTATAGAATATGGTGTGAAAACTGAAACTCTGAATTTTTTTTTTTTTTTTTTTTTTTTGGGTAATTTTTTTTTGACATCGATTAAAGACACTCATATACAACTTGATCACTTTTTGGACAATGACATCCCTCAAGTTTACAAACTTGAACAATGACAACCCAAACATTATGAAAGTACGTATTTACCCTTTGACAACCCTTTAATCACGTAAAATGACCAAAGTAGCCTCATCCAATATACACAACCACTACTGAGTTCAGTCCACATTCCACAGCCGAACTTATCAGAGAAATTCACATCGCCGAGCTCCCCTTTTACTACGGGCTCAGCTGGATAGACTAGCAGAATGAACTGGTGAGGGATGGCGGCTTGTGTACGCCAACGATTGACAAAACAGTGGGCAAGATGGGCTGTGGATGAAAGTCAATAGTGCTCGGATGTGGTTGAATCGCAGTGGGCTTGCGGCACTGCACTGGCGGGCGATGGTGACAAGGACGGTTCGCGCCAGAGACAAGGTGGATGGTGGGTTTGCAAGGCGGCTCAGCCGGATCTCACGGTGATCAAGGAGAAACTCAGCGGTGAGAGGAACAGCCAGCAAGCTTGGATGAAGCTTGAATCGTGCAACAATGGCTTGTTGTTGATTTATATATATATATAAACACTTTGCTAATGAAGGAAAAGAGCGAAAAAAATGGGTTGCTGTAGAGGGAAAATTCCCCACCAACCACAACATACCACGTGGCAATAAAAGTGCAGCCCATTGCTAACTAAAGCCACCCAGAAGCCCATTATTAGCTGGGAGCCCAATAACAAAAACTCCACAAACATGTCAAGTCGGCCCAATTAACGAAGGAAGCTCCACTTGACATAAAACGATCCAAGGGTCAGCCCAATCACGGTTAGCCCATAACTCCATAATGCACGCCATAAAAGAAAGGGGCACACGATCAGTAAGCATAAACGCTTACATTTAGAAAACTACCAACAACAGCTCCATGTAATTCTCTACACAAAGCTTATAAATTGAGCATGAATGAGAATGGAAAATCATCGAATTCCCATCATTATTTCTCTCTTGAAAAATTGTCTATTACTTCTTCTATATTTCATTTTGATTTATTTCTTTAAGTGTTCGGGTGTGAGAAATTGCACTTACACTTTGGCGCCGTCTATAGGAATTCGTTACAAAAAAGTCTATTGTCTACCATTTCCATGCGACATCGCTCCGGAATGGCGACAGGATCAGATGCCCGACGAGCACAGCAATAAGAAATCATGCAGAAAATGCGTGAGGAGATGCAAGTGCAGTTTGACGTCCTTTGGCAAGCCAACGAGGCTAGTACCGAACAGATTAATGCAATAAGACAGGCTTATGAAGCTAAATCAACGCTCTGCGCTAGGAAAATGAAGGGCTGTGAGGTAATGCTGGGAAAAATGATCCACCGATCAAACCACAACCCCAACGTCAGAACGAAGATCCTCCTCTAGCACCCGGGCTCAATAACCCTCCTCTTCAGTAGAGGGTTCTGCAGCAGCAACTGGATGGAACATTGGATGACGTTGAGGAATCAGCAAGTCAATCCTGTATCCCAGGAAATTCCACTATGGGAGGACCTCGAACCACCAAGGTTCCACCCTCAGATGATGCTGATTCAAGAAGAAAGAAGGCATGGGTCTCGGTTGAGGCATGGGTCCCGGTTGCTGATCAGCAGTCACCAGGGAATGATTTTATCGCCAGGTTCCGAAAAATGGACGAGCGAATTAAAGGGCTGAAGGCCCAAACACCTGAAGACATAGCGAGAGAATTCACTGCGTCAATAGTAAAAACTCCTTTTACAGATGAGATAGAACGGGTTACAAGACTTAAGAAATTTATAATGCCAAAGCTCATCAAGTTCAATAGGACTAGAGATCCTCTCCAGCACCTCAATCATTACACTCAAGAAATGACGCTAGAGGCACACAACGATCCGTTCATGTGCAAAATATTCCCATCCAGTCTGATAGGGGTAGCCCTGGAATGGTTAAAAAATCGCCCATACAAGTCAATCTCAAACTTTGAAATACTGTGCATTGCGTTTCTTGCCTAGTACTACGGGAACAAGAAACAAAAAAAGACCATTGCCAGCCTCTTCACGATTCGGCAGATGAAGAGAGAAGGCTTACAAACATTTCTCACTCGGTTCAACATGGAATCCTCAGGAATTCCATATTGCAATCAAGATATAGTCATAGAAGCATTCAAGATAGCCATGGTGCAAGGTTCATGTTTTTATTCTTCTCTGGTGAAGAAAATTCCGGCTAACATGTCAGAATTGAATTCATGGGCGCAAAACTACATCAAACTCAAAGAAAACAAATTAATCAGACAGCAAAGAGCAACTCTGGTCATTGTGGAGAGCCGGCCGAAGGAGTGACCGATTACCTCAACGACCCAACGAGAACCCCCGAACATCGAGGGAAGAACCCCTGAGAAAAAATCTCGAACGGCCGAAAAGGTTACACCTCTAAAAATGACATTGGCTAGATTGTACTAAGAGACTAAGGGCAGAAACATTTTTCAGATCCCTCCACCAATCAGACAACCAATGGAGCAGAGAAACCAAAGTAAGCATTGTGCATTCCATAGTGATTTTGGCCACTTGACTAATGATTGCAGGAGTCCGAAAAGGCAAGTGGAGGCGTTAATGGCCAAAGGCGAATTGGCAGACTATCTGATTAACCCAGGACAACAAAGGCAACCTTAGCGAACCCGGCCAACTTCAAAGGCTGTGGCAGATAACCATCCCATTTGGGTAATCAATACGATTCATGGTCGTTCGGAAAAAGATGAACAACTAGAGAATTCTTACAGGATTCAACTCAAGCAAGCCCATAAGTTACGAAGGATTGGCGAAATCAACGTTGTTGGGTGTAAACTGAGTCCTACCCAGGTTCCTTCCATGAGGGAGATCTCAGAGGGTACAACATCCACATGAAAACCCACTAGCAATCAGTTTGCCAGTGGCCAATTGCCTGGTCAGACGTGTACTAATTGATTCTGGAAGCAGTGCCAACATCATAACGAAGTGGACTTTCGATTAACTGAAGTTGGCCACAAATCAAATTCGCCCCAATGGAAACCCTTGGTAGGGTTCGATAGAAGAAGAGTGGAGCCCCTAGGTGTAATCACATTATCAATCAATGTAGCCAAGAGATCTTTGAAAGAGAACTTTGTGATTGTGGATATCCATCTAACCTATAACTTGTTAATGGTTCGAGGGTGGATCCACCGTATGGAAGGGTCCCATCAACTCTACACCAAGTCATAAGGTATGTTAACCCAAATGGTCAGGAAGTTATCTATATTTGGGGGGATCAAGTGGCAACAAAGGAGTGCTACCGCACAACAATTTGCCCAACTAATAAAGGCAAACAATTGCTGAAATAGCAATTACCAGGCTCCTCCTTTCCTGAAGAGAGAAAGGAGCCAGAAGAGGAACGTCCAACCAAAGAACCCCTCGAGGCCGTGCAGATAGTCACAGGGGATGAGCACAAGCTAACTTATATAGGGACGCTCCAATCAGCCTGGGAAAAG